TGGCAGCACTCCGTGTCGACACCATTGCAGGAGTTGCTGAGTTACTAGCTGAGCTCAGGTCCTCTGCCCCATGCTAGCAGGAGTCAGCCTCTGGGCCCCTCCTGCTCACCCTCCGGCGCGAACGCCGGCACGCTCTTACAGACCGCGCCTGTTTGCGCACTCTGTTCGCGCGGCTCCCTACTGGCTCAGCTAAGAGGGATCCTTTGCTGGACCTCTCTTCAGTACTGTGCTGTATGGGGCACCTCAAGGCTTATGGGCTGGTTGCGTGGCTCCAAACCTTCCCTTAACCATGCCCCATGCCTCGCAGTTGTTACATGGATGTTATTCCCTCTATTGGTGCCTCAGCCTATTCACCCTCCACCCCTTTAATCTGGCTAGGCCTTCTAGCCTAGGCCCACTGCGTTGGACCTGGTTCCGAGGCACTAGCTCCAATTGACCTCTTTCTGTCACTGGGCCCTCTGGCCCTTTTCTCTGCTGCGCCCTTCTGCGCACTAATGAGGCCTCTGAACCTCTCCTTACAGCCTTATCCCAAACCTTCAGTACAACAACAACACAAACATAAGCCCCTGGGCTATAACATATCAAAACCAATGAAAACTGTACTTTGCCCCTTTAAGGCAAACTTCCACCCCTGGGATAGCAGGGCTCCTATCCTGGGCACCCTGCAGGCTCTTGGAGCCTTACTGTCCTTGTAGGCAGCAAAGCAGGCAACCAAATGCCTCTGAGTAGCTCTCTTAGGAAGGGGCTCCTTCCCCTGGCAGTCTCTAGAGGAGTGAGTTCTGCTAGCCCCAGCCCTGAGCTTATATGTTCCCAGGGCCCTGGCTCTTTCCGATCATCTGATCACCTGCAGATGCCAGCTAATTACCCCATTAGCCTGTTGCCCAGACAACCTACAGCCACAGAGCTCTGCCTAGCCTGCAGGGCTCCCTGACTAGGCTGCTTCTGCCCTTAAAGGAGCAGGCACATCTGCCTGCAAAATAATCAAATGCAAGTCTTTGGGATCTCTACTAGCATGACTAGGTGAAACTTAACAGCCTAGAAGATCAGACTAGGGAATTGAATTGTTCCTTAAGCTCTGCAAAAATTCTATTAATTTCCTAAGAATATAAAATTATTTTTTTATTAGTTTACTAGCCAATTGCCCATCAAGAATGCTGGGGGGGTGTTGGGGAGCAGGCAGGGATGGAGCCCCATGCACACATCGCCCCTGTCCGGGCCCGCACCCCCTTCCCTCTTGCTGCTTGGTGTCTGGGCCTGTTTCCCCCCCTCCCCCCATCGCAGTGGCGGAGGGAGGGGAGGAGTGGGCCTGGGCCTGATTGGCAGGGGAGGACTGGGCCCAAGGGTGGCAGGGTGGGGAGCAGCGGGTCCAGACCAACCCGGGGGGGAGGGGGGATGGGAGAAGCGGGCTCAGGACTGACGTGGGTAGGGGAATTAGGGGAGGAGTGGGTCCAGGACCAAGGTGGGGAGGAGACCAGCTCCTCCCCTCCCCCAGCTGCTGCTGCGTTGGGCTGTGTTGGGCCAGGCCCGCTGCTGCCCCCCACCGCTGCAGCAGGCCTGCTTCCCACCTGCATTGGGGTCACTCCCCCCATCCTACATTGGGCCTGGGCCCACTCCTCCCCTTCTCCCACTGCCACTGCTGCAGTGTACCTGCTCCCTCCCTGCCCAGGTTGGTCCCACTCCTTCCCC